AAAGATGTGACATAAAATAAATAGGTGACAGCACTAATGTGGCCAAAGACTTTCCAAGGAAATGAGGCCAGATCAGAGACCCCAGGGGAGCTGAGGGCTGTCCGTATAGGGAGGACAACTCAAGGCCGAGGAAACCGAATGTGCCAAGACTGAGATTTGTGAGAAGTTGGGAAGGTTGCAGGATTGGCTGCATGGAAGATCTTATGAAAACTCAGCGGTGCACAGTGTTTGAAGCTAATAAGCTGAGTTCATACTCACCGTGTAGCAGATGTGCAAAGTGCTACCATTCCCCTAATAAGCCTTGCAGCTGCACTACATAGTACACTTAATAACTAACATTTATAGTGTCAGTTATCACACTAAGTGTTTAAATCATACTAATAGATAGTGCCCTCCCACATTTTACAGATATTGTTATGATCTCTGTTGTAAGATGGGGGGAATTGTGGCACATGGGATTAGGTAATTTCCACAAGGTAGCATAGCCCTTAAGCGGTGAAGTTACATAGTCTGACTAGAGATTTGCATGCAACCATCGTACACAAGATGGTGTGAAAGACCTGAGATTCAGTGGAGAAGTGCAGCTTCAAAGCCACACGCTTTGTAAATGCAGGTGGGTTTCAGCTCTCCCCTGCATGGCCTTAGAATTTGAGTGCTTAATCACTACCCTGTGCTCTGTAGCACCCTTGACCTCAGAGAACATTTGCTGTAAACTCGACTTCGGGAGGTAAGGGAGGTTTACTAGAATGTTCGTGAACCTTCTGAACTAGAAGAATCTTGGTTTTGATTGGGTTCTCTTCTTTCTAGTGCGCAATCTTGAGCAGGTTAATTAACTTTTCTAACTAAGCCCTACTTTGCTCTCTGTAAAATTTGGACATTCGCACTTGCCAAACTATGTGGTTAAAAAAGGAAACAGATGACGTGAAATGTCTTTAACAGCACAAATATAGGTGAGGCATTGATAGACCTGTGGAATGCTCTATAATGTTCTGGAGAGGAAACCATGTTTCCTCTGTCACATGGCCAATAGGACAATAGCCAAGAAATAAATCAGATTTCTTGATTACTGTGTTTCTCACACTAAACCATGCAAAGGACTTTGTAGTGACAAGATTCATTCGAAGACAACCTGCCAGTTTCTCTGTGTGACTCTTGTTATATTTAGCTCAGAATCTGTGATATGACTTCCTATATAACTGAATTGCTTAATTTTGATTTTAGACGATTCCACTCCATGTGTGCATGTTACTGGGGACCTTTAAAATTTGTTTTATTTTGAGAAAGGGCCTTGCTAAGTTACTAAGTTAGCTAGATAAGGCAGGAACTCACAGTCCTCTATCTCCACCTCCTAGAGTGCTGGGTTTAGAGTTGTGGGCTACCACACTAGGCTGGGTCATGTTACTTCAGCTTTATGTAAAGCATCATGGATTTCTGTATAACATAATGTGCATCCTTCCTGCTTTCCCTATCATATTATAAAATCCTCAGGCTGGTTTCTTTATATGTTGGATTCTGTATCCTTAAGGTTTTCCTTCGAGTGTCCATGGAAAGGTTTTCATGTTAGCAATCTTGCAAGTCAGCTACTGTGACTCTTTTCCAAATCTGCTTTGTGGACAGGACAGATACTTCATGGGCAATAAACTGCACCAATTTTAAGTGCAGGGGCTTGATACATTTTTGCAAATGAATCCAGTTATGAAACCATGGCCATAGTGGTGAAAAGGACTCTTCAGTGTGAAATGCCAGCCAGCAGTCTCTGTGCTCCTCACTAAGTCATGGTGTAATTATAAAAAGCACCTGGATTTCAAAGTCTTAGAAGGAAAAAAATTTAAACATTTCCTAATAATTTATGTTTTATAAATTGACAATATTCTGATGCATTACATAAAACATCATTACTAAAATTTTGCCATTTGCCATTCTGTAGAGATTCAGTAACTTGTGCTCTTGTTGTGGGTGGTATCTCCAAATGAATATCCCCTAGTTTGTTTATTTGTCTCACCACTGGTAGGTATTTGATTGTCTTTCAGTTTTGACTATTTTTAGTTAACTAGCATGAACATGGTTTGCTTCCTATTGGATAAGCATCCGAAGAGAGTGGGTGGCATGGGAAATGTACATCCAGTGCTGGAGCCCAGCTGTTTTCCCAGCTGCTTTAACAACCTAACTAGCAGTGGCCAGGATTTAGTGGCTCCATGTTTTTATACACTTGTTAGTGGGGTCATCTAAGTTAATTTCAGCCACTCAAGTGGACACCTGTGTTTCCTCACTGAGTAGTTTTACTTTGTGCTTTCCATGTGCCTATGATTTTGAGCATGTGTTCATGTGCTTATTAGACATTCATATTTCTTCATGCAAGTTCTTTGCCAGTGTTTTCCACGTAGTCTGCTGCATCCAAAGATCAAAGGGTTCTGACTTTTTGTCTTTTGAGTTTACAACATTTTCTTCTGTGGTATTTAACCTGCTGGCAATAGAATACATTGTGTTTTTTAATTTTAGCTATTACAGTCTTTGCCTCTGAATTTCCAGGTGGCTCTTATGCTTGAAATACTTGTTTCTTTCCTATATTCTTTTCTTGAAGACATGAGAAATACTTGTGGTAGTTTTTACAGATACCTACTTAGAAATTCTATCACATCTGTTATTTCTGGGTCTGTTTTTATTTGTTGATTTTTTTTTGTTTTTGCTTATTGGTCTTATTTTCTTATCTTTTTATTAATTGCATCACATTTGTAGATTTTGGGTTGTTTGCAACTGGAGTTCACTGTATGTTTTAAAAACAACTGATAGACATTGGTTTTGGATAGTTGAGCTACTTGAAATCAGTTTGGTTCTCCAATAGCTTGCGTTTAAATGCTGTTTGAGCAAGTCCATAGTTAACGGTCAGAGCTAACTAACCTTTCCCGTTATAGTGAGAAGAACAAGCTGGGATTCTTGTTGGTGTTCTGTGTCATCTCTTGGGCTTGTGGAACCATAACTGTGCTTAGTTCTACACGAATGCTGAGAACCGTTCGTGGTGAGGTTCCTTCTTCAGCCGTGGGTAGTTTCTTCTATATAACTGCACATCGGTGTTCAGCCAGACTCCAAGGGACCCCTGAGAGGACCCCATGGCTCATCTTTAGGATTCTGACCTGCATGTTTTAGCCCCCTTAAACTGTCATCTCTTTCCTAATTCAGCAAGGAGCCAGAGTCTATTGGCTTCACCCTCTTTGGACAATAACCTAGCAACCGCCTTTGGATTGTACCCTGGGCATTGACTGAATGTGTCCGGTTCCGTTACCTTATTTCAGGAAGCATAGTTGATTGTTCCTCTGATTTTTTGCAGTTCTCCAGTTATTTCAGGTGGAAGGATTAATCCACTTATATATCATGGCTGGAAGCATTAATTGTGAAATAAAATAGCTTTGAAATACACACATGTGCATACACAGATTGAGTTTTGAGTTTCTCTTTTTCATCAGCAGTTCAAGATATCAGCCCTACCAGGGGTTCTTCAGGAAATCTGTCTTAAATTATGCTTTCTGGGTTCCAAGAAAAACTAAACCAAGAGTGTTAACATTCAAGAAGGGAATTCTACATATTATAATGAATAGGTCCGTTTCTAAATTTTCAAGAACTTGTTTCTGTATCAAATTAGAGCATTAAAAAGTATGTTTAATTGGAACACTTTCATTTAACTATCCATAAATGTCTTCTTGTCGCTTTATTTCCAATTGTGCTTTTAGCTTTCATTAAGACTGTATCAAAGCATGTTGCGTCTTGTAAATCACACACACACACACACACACACACACACACACACACACACACACATGCACACAAACCTGGACACCAGGAAAATAGAATCCCTATAATACATCTTCTATCACTTCCTCTGTCAAAATCTGATTTTCAGAACTCTTGTTCCTGGGTTGGTGAAAGACTTAAAAAATTTGAAATAATGAATTAATGGATAGCATTTAATAGATTTTTGTTAAGTTTGATTCTGACTTTAACTTTATAATTCAGATACCTTTTTCATTATGCTTTTTATATTTATTTTAATTAAAGAGTGTTGTAGTCAAGAGTTGCAAGGAGAACAATTATATATAGGACATAGAATTTATAGTATTATTTTTTGATGGTCACCCGAGTTAAACATAAGAAAGCGTGGAAATCTGTCCACAACATTAAAGACCTAGAAAATCCAGCTAAGAGCCTGGATCCCACAGCAATGTCCTGCATGAGTCCAGATGAAGGCCTAGAGCCCATGACAGTGACTCAGGCCAGTCTGTTTTACAGATCTGCACTGGGAAGGTCAAAGGTCGGTGGTGGAAGCTAGAACGTCTATGCCAGCAGGGTGAAGGAGCTGTGCCAGTAGGTTGAGAGTTTTCACTGGAGCCAAGAAGCAATGCTCAAAATAAGGACCAGGGCTACCCTGAAAGTACAACAGCCATCCTCAGTGACATGGAGGTCCTGGGCTTGCTAGGGTTTCCCACAGTTGTGTTAGGGTTTGTGGAGAGCAGCTCCCAGACCATATTTGTGGGGAGAGTATTCTGGAGGTAGAGTTTGATCACCCTTCCACCCCAGAAAAACATGGCGCTAAGTCAAAATACCTAAAATCTTTGCTATTACCTCGGTACAGCTAGTAAGACTGAGATTTTCAGTTTTTTCCTTTGATTTTCAATAATTAATTTGAATAGGTGTCAGTTTTATGTGCTGAGATCTTTTAGAGATTTTTTATTTGTTTTTCAGAAAAAGGTTTGTGCATTAAGCTCTACTTTGAACGTGGGATTTTCCCATTGAATATTCAGAGAAGATAAATGTGTCTGTCTGTTTCTGATTTGAAATGTTATGAAAATTTAGCCAGTCTCAGACAGACCAAATTCTTTAAATCATAAATCATCTTTCCAGCAGTACGTGTAAAATACTGGGATTAATTTTACTATGACTGAACTGATCAAGTGAGCAATTATTGCTTCACTCAGCATCTTTGAAATGCTTCAGAGTCACTCATACAAAGCCTCATTCCAGATTAGAATGAGCACAGTTGATTGGTGTCCAGGACTGGTCAGGGTGGCTGAAACTGGGATGCAGGTCACACTTCCATCACAGTAAACATTTATAGTGGTGACGGTGAAACCTGTGACATTTTGCCTAATGCAAAGTGTTGACTTTCAATATTACAAACGAATGGTTAAGGAATAATATAGACTCTAGGTCATGGGCCAGAATACCAATACTATGTATAATTCAAATCCTAGGCTCCCAAGATATAAATCTCAAGAAAAACATTGGATGTAAGATCCCAGGAGTTCTGAATTTCTCCTTGTCGATAATACAGGTGGAGACAGAATTGTGGCAAGGCGATCTTGAAGATCAAGAACCTCATTAAAGTGACCTTGATAAGTTTTAAAAAAATCTAATGTGAAATTCCTTAAATAAAATTTTATTTAATTCAAAAATAGTTACTCATACACTTTTTGACTTATGAGAAAATATCCAGGGTTATTCTCAGCTCCTAATGGGTGGCTTCTGCTAAAATTCCTTCAAAATATTGTTGACATTTTAACTTGATTTCAACATTTAATTAATAATATAAAATAAAACAAATGAATATCTTTTATTATTAGGAAAAAAACCCAGAAATATAAGTCCTGCTCTGGATCACTGAGATCTGCTTCTTCAATCTGCTGACAAACACATGGAACCCTTTTTCTCAAACCCAAACACTTTCAATATGTGAAGCTAATGATGCTGGAGTTGAAATCGGAAACCCCCTGTCCAGTTTATTCACAAATTACAGCTGTTTGATTCCAAATGCTTTACTCTATCATGCCTTAACTGCCATTTCAATAGTAAAAGTTTCCTTCTAGACAATACAGCATAGTATATTTTTCAGCAAATGAATTATTTCAAAAGAAAGATCTTATGGTTCTTTAGGAAAATAATACATGCTATAACCTATACATTAAAGCTTATCACTAATAATAAGTACCACTTCTGTTCCCTAGGAGCTTTTGCCTTAGTGATAGGACTGGGTATTAAACATATTTCTAACTTGTTGATTTTGTCAACAACTGACTTGTACCGTGAAAGAATCACCATGACTCTTCACCTGAAGGTTAAAAGGCGTTGTTCGCATGCTGAGGGTAATAAAGACAAATCCTGGCTTTCATAGGTCTTTCCATATGGACTCATCTGCGTGTGTACTCAAACCCGAGACAGCGCAGTGATGAACGTGTGTCTCCCAAGGCTCAGAACGTGATATCATTCGTTCTTTTTCCTGGCATCAGATTCTTCTTCTCTGGCTTCCTCTTTTGTGTTTTAAACCTCTGATATGGGGCCAGCATGTCTGCCATTGGAAAATGGCCCTAGAATTCTTGATTTCTTGGATGTATTTATGGTGATGCAGTAGACATTAATTTTGCATGACAAAGCTCTAGAAGGAAGATGGTTTTTCCTAGTGAGGCTCATAGCACCTTTCTACCCTGCACATAGCTTTCAGTATGATGCTAAATTCACAGAAAAATAAGCAAATAAATTCTAGTCACATAACACAATATGATCTATGTCCATGGCATGGAATTGGTATGATGACCACTACGTGCAAAGAATTAGCTGTAGCTATTTGCCCTCTGTGTGATCTGTGAGAATATTTTGGGCTTCCCCATGGTCTCTGAGTGAAATTCAGTGTTTACTGCAAAACCTGTTTACATTAAGCTCCATTAGTTTCTGGGAAATACAAAGTGATAGGCCACCGTGAATACAGAAAAACGTACCAACCACACACAAATTAAGATTGAGAGGCAGTCTTCATTATTTTTAGGATGTCCCTGAAATTAAAAAAAATAATAAATTCAGGTTATTGATATTCACTTATTTTCTCCTATTTATTAGGGATTATGATGTAGCTTAAAAATTGTTTTGATTTTTGCACTTAGAAAAGTTTTCAGCTGATCGTATAATTAAGAAAAGAGCAAAAAGTATCTATCTTCCCACGAACCTTTTTATGGTAAACCCAGCATGATGACTGCAAAGAGATTTTATTTATTAGCCTCCTTACATCAGGAAGTGATACATTTTCATGCAGAAGTATTTATTTTGAGGCAGACAACCTACTTATTTCTTAGCATTTTTCCCTGTAGGAGCTTTCACAATCCTGCCTTTTATGAGACAGATGAAGCAAGACCTTCTAATGACAAACTGGCCATTGTAGAAGGCAAAGCCATTCTCAGCTTGTGGGTGAAGGCGATCAATCTCAGCTGTGTAAGCGGCAACCTGAGACAGAAACAGATGTCTTGCAGCCCTTACTGCTGTGAAAGGAGCATTAGCGTAAAACACCTGCAACAAATCTCTGTGCATAGGGCGAAATCTGAGTTAAGAAATTGCACGTGGATTTTTAAAGCAAGATGTACATTTATTTTCACATTATTTTACATGGGCTGAATTGTATTTATTTATAGTGTCCAGGATGTTTTAGAATATATGCTTCTTCTATCTCAGACACCTAACATTTTTCTGTGGAGAGAACATTTAAGGTCCAGTCTCTTGGCAATTTTCAAATATACAGTGAATTGTCATTAACAGTAGTTACCTTGTCATGTAATATATTTCCTGGTCTTTTTGCTCCTGTCTAGTGAAATTCTGTATTCTGGGACCCACATCGCTCCAGTTCCTCCTCCCCCTGCATTCCAGTACTCAGGCCCTGGTCACCATAATTCTATTCTCTGCTTTTATCAGCTTGATTTTTAGATTCTACATATATGTAAGATCATCCAGTATTCGCCTTTCTGGGCCTTGCTTATTTCATTTGACATAATGCCTTATAAATCTGTCCATGTGGATTAAATATTTAAAGCAAATGGATTGAAGACTTGAGCATAAAGATTTGAAACTGTAAAACTACTTAAAGAAAACACAAGGGACATGCTTCCTGCTACTGGTCTGGGGAGAGACTCCAAAAACATGATCAACAAAAGCAAACCTAGAAGAAAAGGATTGCACCAAACTAAAAAGCGTACGCACAGTAAAGGAATCAATCAACGGAGTGAAAGAATACTGTGAAATGGGAGAAAACACCTACAAACCACGCATCCAACGAAGCATTAATATATAAAATGTACAAGAAAATCAAACACCTCAATGCAAGGAAACAACCGGATCTTTAAAAAAAAAATGGGTAAAAGACTGAAAGGACATTGCTCTAAAGAAGAATTATGAATGGCTGAAAGACAGAAAGATGCTCAGTACCGTCACGCATCAAGGAAATGCACATCCATCTGTCTCAATGCTTTTTATTGATAACGTCGTGGTGTTGATAGATGTGTGTGTTTACTGTCTATACCCAAACTACTCGGCTGCTACCTAGAAAACAGCCATAAATGAGGCTGACAACCGACTCATCAGACTAAAGACATGATTTGGTGTCATTTCCTAGTGAAATTAGCTTTGTAATCCTGGTTGTTTGCTGAACTTAAACCAAACCGGCACTTAGTTTGAAAGCCCCTTCCCCAAATCATCGACTGCACTCCGTTATTCTCTTCAGCGACTGTTGTTCTGCCCAGTGTCCTGAGGCCAGTGCTGATTCAGTCAGGCAGATGGAGAGGAAGTCTGATTAATGGAAATATGATACTAAAATATCCCATGCTAATCACTGTGCCTGCTCACTAGCAGATAAGGTAATTAATGCACTGTACTAAAGATGCAGAGTCTGTGACGTTCCGTTTCAGAATGTCCTGGCGAAGATCTAGATAGACCAACAGATGTCTTGGGAAATTTTAAAAATTCATTTTTTTGTTGTTGTTTCTTAGACTTTCTTCATCAAATTATATGCGAGAATGAAATAGGTGATTGGTGATGAGGAGACAATTCTGTGAGTGACTGTAGCAGCAGTTGTGGAGGTGAAGTTACAAGCCTGGGTGAGCAGTGCTTGGATTCTTTACCACAGGCTCTGTTAGTAGGGCATCAGGGGCTGAATCTGGGGACATCTTAAACTAATGCACAGGTGACACATTCATTTCTGTGCGATACACCTAGATTAGATGTTTTCTGATTCGTGTGCATGAAGAAAAACCAAGATGTTCACTGTTGACACTTTTCAATGGAAGTATTAGCATTGGTGTAAGTTTCCACCACTAGACCAAGGTTTGGGCACCATAGAAACCAGACTGTTCTGGAGAGAAGTTTGAGTGCCTTCATAAATACAGAAAGATGCCAGAGAACAACATCCTGATCTTTGTTTAGTTTCAGTAGAGAGAAGAAATGAATGAGCATTTGAGGGAATAAGTGATCCCCAAAGTGAAGGCAGTAACTTCTGGGACATTTCTGAGTACGAAGGCGGGACCTCCTCACACCTCATTGCTTCTAACCTAGGCAGCCTGAATTAATTGGGGAACATTGCAGGACCCATACCTGGCTTCTGGGACCCACCCCTAAAGAGACAGGAGAGGCCAGTGCCTCTAGACAGACTCTAGAAGCTGTATCTGCTACCAAACCAACTGGTCAATGTGATTGTGTGAAATGAAGCAAGAACCAATCGCCTGGTTCTTGGCATAAGTCAAAGAGGGTAGGAAAGCTTAATGGCTAAAGTCATAGACTCTGACGTCAAGCCGTCTATATTTACACGTTATTTACAAAATACCTGCTGGCTAAACGTGAGCACGTTAGCTTCTCTAAGGCTGGCGGGACGATAACAGTGTCTACCTCATGTGTTTGTTGGGAAAATACATGAGAGAGAATATACCCAAAGCAATTAAAGCAGCACCTAGTATGTTCTGAGCGCTCATTTAAATATCGTCTACTTAAACTACATCTACAACGCAGGAGAGTGACTCTGGCTACTGTCACTGCCACGGCTACATCTGTGGTCATCTTTCCTCTCTGGTTGGGAACTGACCAGATCCTCAGAGAGGTGTTAGGTCAGCAGGTTTGGGAGACTTGTAAGCTGATGAATCTGGCCAAATGGGGCAGGACTGGGCTTCCTTTGGAACACTTCTGAAGCAAATGTGAAAAAAAGTCATCTTGAGGGTTATCTGGATAAAACAAAGAATCTCCATCAAATTACTTACTTCTGGGCACAAGAAAAAATGATGTGATTTTAATCACAGTGCTCAGGCGCCCAAAATTCTTACTAATATGAGAAGATTTGTGCC